TTTGACGCGTGGTGGACTCATGTGGGTCTCGTTTTGGCACTCGGCTCTTATTTACTGCACCAACAGCAGGGCGTGACGTAGCTCACGGGGCGCGCGTCAAGATGCTATCTGGAGCGACTTGTGCAGTCGGACACAAATCGTCTTTGAACGCAGGTCCAGGGTATGACGATGGATGAACATTCAGAGTCCATAGTTTGAGGGTAGACTAATGACGGCTACACAGGTGAGTTAAGCCACTCCCCTAAGGTTTATATGGTGCTTTTGCAGTATGGCAAACTGCGTTTTGTCACGCGGCACGTTGAGTTTCGATACGTTGCGATAAACAACCATGCGGTCTTTCTTACTTCTGCAATCCCCAAGGCGGATGTTTTGTCTGTCAAAACATGTCTGATGTCTGTCACCAACCCTCCAAAAACTGCTCCCCAAATCGATATTCATGGCTGTTCTAGATCGCTGCTAGCCACTGGAAACGAAGAAAAGTGATCATTCGGACGCAGCCATGGCATGATTTTTATACAATGATATCACGGTGTCGGAGTTGGGAGGAATAACTATCCGATAAAGACTAAACAGGGTTATTGGTCAATTGCATCAGAAGCACTGGGCCAAAGACAAACCTTTTAAGATAACCTAACTTGCCGCAATGTATGCACTTCGTAAGTCAGTTCATAGCATAATAACAAGATGATGTGTTCCAATGACAAAAACGAATTGGGAACGTCGACCTGGCCCAAAAGTACCAACTGCTTTAACAGGTGTAAATGCCTTCAAAATGTTATGGCAAAGAAGATCTGTCACTCATGGGCTCCTGAGGATGCCAAGTTTCCAATGGTCCAGCAGCACATCTCCAGGGTGCTCAAGTCAAGGCCCCACTCGGGTATCGAAGTCGTGAGTCTGCCTGCCATGGCGAATCTGGTGCCATCGGAGCTCAGGACCAAGGCTGAAAACGGCTAGAAGCTGGAAATTAAGGATTAGTTTTCTGGAGTGTAAAGAGAAAAAGAACATCGCGATGCACGTTGAGAGATACTTTCCTTTGATTGTCGAGAAACAAACACCAAAAAGGCTCACTACACCAGACACAAAAGAGCTAATCTGGAAGTATGTTACCAGCGGAGGACGTTTCCTAAAGGGGATGTTCAACATTTGAATATATTGAGTCAAATCTCAGATATGATGAAATCAACTCTTTTGTAACTATTGGTATGCTTTGGAGTGCAACCACCTGTTCTAAACAGTACAAGTCCACGTTTTAGTAGATCAGCTTCTCAGTAAGTCATGGCTTGATTGCGTCATGGAGCGTTTGTAAGATAATGGGGTCGCTGCCAAATAGTCATTTTAGAATTATCACTGTAGCGGACGGGTGACTCATTTATAGTACTTTAAACTGCCAAGAGGGGACTCGTGTGTTTGAGAAACCCTAATATCGCTATATGCGCCTGTTTTGACCCCTTTGTCGTGATGTTTTTGTGTATTTGTCCCTGATTCTGTATTATTAACTTGCAGTCACATACTCGGTTATGGCGCGTAGCAAATTCTCAACAAATTCCCAGTCCTGTATTATACAGCACAAGACATAATTTGTGCTCGCAACTTACACTGAACACATCAAAATCGTCGGAGGCCAACTGATGACCGCTGATACCACGAATCGTGCTCACGTACGCCAGACCCGAACAATTCGATAATTATATTTGATCTTGGCCTTGAGCACTAAATCATCCATACAGTGGCGGTATTTGTGTGACGTGTGTATGGCGTCATAAATGTCTCGTGACCCTAAAATAGCTTGCACGAAAAAATCTGCACAAGTTCGCAGGCGTCAAGCTCGGAAACAAGGGGGGGGGGGGGTTGTGCCTTAAAAAGTGCATGACTTTGATCTGCACTGAATAATCTTCGAAATGATGATCTTAGTTCAAAAATTCATACAAATGTGGAGCAATCCCTTTAAGGTCATCGCCTGGTGGCCATGTCGCGGTCGAGAGTAAATAAAAACTTCGTGGCCTAAAGGAGCGCTGTGCATAATGAAACCTACGAGAAAGAACGCCTCCTGCATCCAGATGTGTAAAGTCGAGCCGTCACACCAAGAAGACTTTGTTATGCTGGCTAGGCCTGACAATTACACATTACGAGAACCCCGTCCTGGTGGAGCCGTGGATGCTCGACATACAGGTAATCACACTTGGGGATAACCCACCTGTGCAATCCCACATTTCCCTCGCAATGAGCCCTGCTGGCAGCGCCTGAAGGCCATTGTATGAGGAAAGCTGTGAAGCTCAGCATGGACGCCAACTTTGGGCAGTAATCACCAAGAAGTTGCGGGAAGTTCTCCCGGAGGAGTGCCGGGGCTGATGGATCACACGGTGACCGACGCTCGCCGCATGGTCGATGAGGTCACCTGCTTCGTCTATGACCCTTGAACGGTAGAGACTGGGCTTTGTTAAACTGCGTTTTTATTTGTATATCAGTTAAAGGGGGAAATCAAAGCCCTTCGATTTGCCAGATTGTAGCTTTGGGCCATCAGTGTGCACAATTGTTTGTAAACATGCTTCCAGAAAAGTGTATTTGCGGCATTTAAAAACATGAAAGTGGGGCTGTTCCGAGTTGTCGGTCCCACGTCCGTATGACTGCAATATCAGTGACCAAAAACCAGTGAGCGGAATCACCTGACCTCATCCAGACTGACTTCGGCTGTTCCAACTATTGCTAAAGTCATCTAACACCTTCACCAAGGGCCCAATTCGTACATCAACGCCCACCCTTATCTTCGCGCCCAAAAAGGCATCGGAATAATCCGCCTGACTACTATCATTATAACAGCCGTTGTCGGGCACTTGTCGCGAAGGACAAGAAGTAGCCTTGCTGCTGCTCATGGCTTTGCCAAAGCGTTTTCATTTTGTTCATCACGAACTCCTCATTCCGAAACATCACGAACTCCTCACCCCGAAACATCACGAACTCCTCACCCCGAAACATCACGAACTCCTCACCCCGAAACATCACGAACTCCTGACTCCTTTACGACACTGACCAGTCAGGAGCAGAACCACACACGCAATACTATTCAAGTCCGACATGATTCCATGTCCTTTTATGCGGCGAAAACAAAACGAGCCGATGTGTTTAAAAGTTCATGAGGTCTGGACCCCACAACGATCCGCAACTGCACGTTGCTCCCATGTATACAGCATAGCTCGGGAGCTATTTATGGACGCGCATGCAGGAAGTTCAAGTCTGACTTAGTCCGGGCATGCTCTCCCGTCCCATACAGTCTGACTGACGAAGTTAGAGGTTTCAGGGCACGGAGGTTATCGCTGAGTCTGCTTCTTCTCCCATGTTTGAGCGGTCTAGCAATATGCACAGGCGATGTGGTTTAGTCTAATATGAGGATGAAACCCAAATCACTGTCATCTGGAAAACTTACACTCCCGCAGCTCCTTACAACCATGGGCGATACGAGGGACGTCAGAGAATTTGGCGTGATATTCAGATATTCGCATGTTTCAAACAATCGACAAACTCCCGACTATGTCCATATCGCTGAACCTTGCGTGTGATGGGCAAATGGGACATGGTCACTCGCTGGTCGTCGTACAACTGCGCATCTAATGCTTGGTTAGTTATCGGATACCAAACATTTGTGTCGTAGGGAGATATGCACCAGTTACGTCTCCTTGAAAATGGTTCGTTCCAAATCACAATACCCTGATAAAGCATCTTATTGGCAGAATTAAGGCGTGATGAAAAAATGTCGATGACTTTTCATATCAACCGATCAAAGTCACTTCCAAGCGCTGACCTTTGCAATTTCCTTAAAACTGTAGTGCAGGGAACGACTGAGGCCTGTTCATATGCCAATAAAATCATACAGCAGCACGTCTAAATGCAGTTATCGGTTACCGATGGGCAAAACGGGATCAGGGGACCTCAAGTCGCAACGCCCCCGCTCTCTCTCATTTCAATGTGCATTCTGTTACGAATAATATCCTCCTGAGCCCCGGCCTTATAGATAGCAGCGTTTATAGTGCCGCACGGCGGCGAAAAAAGGTTTGGGGCCTCAGTGGCCCGCTTTGAACGATCTGCACACCAAACACATACAGTTAGGTAATCTATAGAGCAGCCAGTTAAGGTCAATACAAACATGATTTGCAGAAACCCGACGAATGAGTACACCCGCCGGTAACTATCCACCTTCGTGAGTATGTGAACGAACGACATGCGTTTCTGAAGCTAGTTGGCACATTTTCATGCTCCGGTTATAATCATCTACCCACACAGGCACAACATACCAATCTCTACTATATTTATAATCGCCAAGACAGGGTGCAACATGAGGGGACGTAATGGCCTAGTAGTTAGTGCATCGGTCTACCACGTGGGCAGCCCGGGTGCGGGTCCCGGTTGCGCCACGACCCCTGGGTGCTCATATCGCCGATGCAACCGCAGGCGTTCCCTGATTTAAGAGCCGTGATGACGTGCGTAGCGTTCCCTTTGCGCAAAAACGCAACATGAGATCTTTACGAACGGGCGTCATATTTGATAAACATCTTGCGCAGCCTCTGCATAGTATGGCATATTCAAGCCCCGCGCATCCAATGTGTACCTTGGAAACACAAACATCCGACATCCAACCAGTTCATTAGGACAATATGGCAGCATCACATTCGTTGCCCAGGCATCCGTTTTGAGGCGGGCCCAACACGAGCGGCATTCACTGATTTAGCGAAATTGGGGAATGGGCGCCCGTTCCACTGTTCGTTTTCTGAGGCGGCTTTGGCTTTGATTTGATAAAGCATTCCGCATTTCATTTCGTGTAATGTATGATGAACCCAGAGATCACGTATTTAAAAACAAAAAACTCAGCATCTTCGAGAGCGCTTCGCTTGTTTGCAGCCTGCGCTTGGCACCACTGCTGACTACAGCACACCACTACCGAACCGCACTCGTTCTTGGCCCCTCCTTGCTCAGCACATGTCTGTCCGCCTCCAAACACGAAACGTCGAGCCGTCGGTACGGGCGTTCGCGCAGAAACAATCACCGGAGCCTCTGTTGCTCTCAGCAGAGCCCGCAGTCCGCCAGGTGCTTGCAGATGACGATATCGCTCGCGGCTGCGAACACGTACTGAAGCAGAAGACGGCGGAAAATGAAACATCAAGCAGAAGATCAAACAAAATGGCGGCGGGTGCGCCATCTCGCGAGCACTACAGTGAGGTGGTGGCAAACGCATCGAACTAAGTCTAAACCGGAGATGTTAGTTGGAGATGTCTAGAACGCATTCATCTGTTAGTTTAGTGAAGACTGGAATGGAGATTGTGCCGTCACCAACAAAGCGATTTGGCGACCTGTCGCGACTGAGCGATTGCAATAGAGGGGCCAAAGGAGGGACAACTGGCCAAAGATGGTCGGTCTGGCACGGCGCGGCCGTGGGATAGCACTGTGCATGCGTGGAAGATACCATTGCAAATCTGTAGTCCTGTCCGACCTAAGTCTTGCTCAACCAAATATGTCCAACAAAGATTTCCGGTGAAATGGAACCGTGTGCCTAAATGTCACGTTCAAGGCATACACAACCTTCGGTTGGCACCTTAGCTGAGGGTAAGACCACTTGTGCAAATGACTCCGCAACATTTCCTAGAAAAGTTCAAGTCGACCCCGCAACCATCGCCGGTCATATCAAATAACCATAGATACCTGGTATCACCATATATATATATATATATATATATATATATATATATATATATATATATGCGTGCGTGTGTATGTGTGTATGTATCTCGAGTCGCTAGTTTGTTTGTGAATAATGGCTGCAAACACGTCACCGGTAGTGGTATCAGGTCTTCCTCGCTTGGCTCGACAAACCTTGATGTTTTCCGTATCTGTTGCGCAAGTGAAGAACGGGTACACGTTCTTGTCCTGTCGGTTCAGTGCCATGAACTTCTGGAGAATGAAGTCGGCGCAGCTCTCGTAGTCATTCTGGCCTGGCAAACAGACAGAGCTGGCAGAGCATGCCAGCAACACGCACATGGGTGCCGAGTACTGCATCACTGTACATAAGACGATGCGCACACGGAAAATAGTATTGCACAAAGGCAGATGCGGTGATGTAGTTGGTTTGTTAGGAGCGCAATGCGCAACATGGCAAAGATGACCAATTAGGCACTTGCCTGCAATCCGCCAGACCCATATTCCTAAAAAACTCACGTCACATGTAATCCACCTTAGATAAATGTATCCTGTCCATTTGCCATAAACATGAACGCTTCTGAAGAACCGTCACAGAGCGCGATTAGATTCATCATAGATTCATAGATTATCATAGACATCATCATAGATTCATCAGTATGTGAGAACGGCTACACGACTGCACAGTGACGAAAGTATCCCAAGGGATCTTGAAGAGCTTCCGCAAAGATTCTCATCACCCGCGCCCGTTTTGGCTAGACGTCTGAACTACTAACATCAATAAAATGCACCACCTCGGACTCGATCTTCTCACACAGAACAATACACGGCTGCTTGACGACGACTAGATATCAAAGTAGCTCTCAGCCTCCAAAGCACGAAAGCTTCCAAAGAACATCTCATGGACTATCCGACGGGCGCTCCGTTACCCCGGTACTCGGGAAAGCAGACGTTGAGCGGTGAGCGGGGCAGCTTCTCCTCGAACAGGTCGCGCTTGTTGAAGAACACGATCATGTGCGTGTTCCTGAACCAGGTGTTGTTGCAGACCGAGTCGAACAACTTCATGCACTCCACCATGCGGTTCGTGGTGTCGTCCTCGATCAACAGCAGGTCGTAGCCTAGCAACAGGGCAACCATGGCAACGCATGGCACAATCTTGACACGATGAGTTATTGACGCGAGCTAGTAATTTGATTATTTGATGGCGTGGAAATGAGAGAAGGCAATGAGAAGGCACCTATGACAGAGTGGTATGTGGTTCATGATTGCACCTTCAGGGAGTACGTAGCAGACACTTGACCTTACCGGTATGAAAATCGCCTCGAAGCCGGAGCCCTTTCCCTCAATCATTCCTGGTTGATGGATGCATCTGAGATCCATGCATTCATATCAGTAGACCAAGGATTTGGGAGCGTCCTTCTCAAGTGGAGCTTTAGAACATTTCCGGAGGTTGGCGCGGATATTGACCGCATCAAGGCGGCTGATGTGGGCACGTGCGGCACCATGTCGCATCAGCCCAGTGGGCGGCGCATGGCAACACGACTGCCCGGACGCGGAACTATTCGGCCCAGCCGCTAAAGCTTTGCCACAGCGCCTTTCAAAGCCCGGCTCCATGAATGAGCTTTGGATAACGGCGTTTTGCATACCAAATCAAGCCCCCTGTCCCGGTAGTTACCAGCGCGGCAGACGGGGATCTGGGTCCAACCGGACTATGACTAAGACTCGGACTCGGACTCGGACTCGGGCTCGGACTCGGACTCGGACTCGGACTTGCATTTGGATTTGAATTTTGATTTGGGTTGGATATTTAGCATCGCCCACTTCAGTTTCGAAAAGGCTATCAGCGCTTGCCTTCAACTCAGAAACAGTTCCAGTGTTGACTATTCAAGGCGTCAAGTTCGGCTGTGCCTAAGTCTCATTTCGGCCAGATTAGGTGGGGCGGAAGTCTATCCCGTCACAATATTTGCGGTTTCTCGTATGGCAGTTATACGACGATCTCTATCCCTAACAATACGATATGAAGTTCTAATTGTCTCATGAAATTCCAACCGAGACTGATGCATTCGGACTCGATCCCCCCCCCCCCCCTGACCCAGCCAAGGACTCGGAGACAGTCTCGAAGGAATCGGAGTCAGACTCTGAACCCCAAGTCGCATTCACAACATGACTCAGGCATGCACTCTCTAATGTGGCAATGACGGACTCAGGACACACACTTAGTACTCCAGGGCTCGGACTCAGACTCAGGCACGACTTATCCATCTCTGACCCGCGCCTGCAGCCTGGGGCCGCTGGTGTTGCCGTTCCGCGATCAGCCCGCGTTCGGGGTTCGTTCGTACCCGACAGCGCCACCACGTATATGACAGCCGTGACGCCCTCGAAGCAGTGAATCCACTTTTTCCGCTCCGACCGCTGGCCGCCGACATCGAACATCCTGGAGACGACGGAACGAGGGGCATGAAGACCACGAACCGTGCCATTTCTCGGCTCTCGTTTGGGGTCTACGCCAGTGGATGCGTAAGCGCCACTGAATGACGACAATGCTGCGTGAAGTGAGGTTCCGGCGCTTAACGCTTTATGATCCAGATACTTTATGACCCAAATACTTTATGATCCAGATACTTTATGATCCAGATACTTTATAATCCAGATACTTTATGATCCAGATACCTTCATTGTGTGCAACATGGCTTAGGATTATGACTAGACGCCATTTTTTTTAAATCAGCTTTTTATGTGCTAAATATGAAGGTGTGGTGTCATTATATATGCATGCACGCACGCACGCACACACACACACACACACACACACACCACACACACACACACACACACACACACACACCACACACACACACACACACACACACACACACACACACACACACACACACACACGCACGCACGCACGCACGCACGCACGCACGCACGCACGCACGCACGCACGCACGCACGCACGCACGCACACACACACACACACACATATATATATACATATATATATATATATATATATATATATATATACATATATATATATATATATATATATATATATATACTCTCTCTCTCTCTCTCTCTCTCTCTCTCTCTCTCTCTCTCTCTCTCTCTCCCTCTCTCTCTCTTGTCTTTAGCTTTTTAAGCTTGACAGAGACATAACGGAGCCATCAATGAGGTCGTTTCAGCATGACGTGACTGCCACGGGATCGGTGGGATCCGGACCCCAACAGCGCGTGGGCAGCTTGGACATGTTTGTGTTGCGATCAGATCAAATGACACCGACACGGGGTGTGGACCTCAGACACAGTTAAGGCTGTTAACGTCAATACGTTTGAGATGCATATCGTCGATATGCTTGACTCGGATCACAGCGGGTACCTGAACAGCACACTCTTGTAGTGAAAGCTCTTCTCAAATATGCCTGTGGTCTTCACTCGTGTTCTGAGAATGTCCTGCTGGGATGGCACGTATCCTGAGAACACAGATTCCCAGTGATGGAACACAGATTCCCAGTGATGGAACACAGATTTCCAGTGATGAAACACAGATTTCCAGTGATGGAACACAGATTCCCAGTGATGGAACACAGATTCCCAGTGATGGACATGAAAGTAATCAGGAAACACATCGGTTGTGTTTGAAATAGGGTGGCTTATTTTGCGTTGCAAGGTCGTCCACCACAGCAGCAGATGAACCAAAGCACAAATGGTGGCAAGTACTCAGACCCAGAGCACGACCTCGGGATTGCGAGCCAAGCATTCCTGCCCTCCAAGCAACGACGCCGACTGCGATCATAAATTCCTCAGTGGCGTGTTTAAGGAGGCACCGAGGTCATGTGTCCACCGCAAGAATACAACCAAAACATGGCGTCTCCCCCCCCCCCAAATACCTTGCAGGTCTCATGAATTTCAGCATATCCCTTTTCCATAAAAACCCGCCTCTGATCACCTCCCAGGCCCACTTTACCGCAGAAGGTTGCCCCTGCACGCGCTCGGCCGTGTGACCTGATCGGACGTGGCTGTGGGATGGACCGGTCGGGCCAGGTGACTTGACCGGACCTGGCTGTGAATGGACCGGTCGGCCAGGTGACCTGATCGGACGTGGCTGTGGGATGGACCGGTCGGCCAGGTGATTTGACCGGACGTGGCTGCGAGAGTGGACCGGTCGGCCAGGTGACCTGACCGGACCTGGCTGTGAGATGGTGAGATGGATCGGCCGGTCGTGTGACCTGACCGGACCTGGCTGTGAGATAGCTGGCCGGCCGAGTTACTTGACCGGACCTGGCTGTGAGATGGTGAGATGGATCGGCCGGTCGTGTGACCTAACCGGACCTGGCTGTGAGATAGCTGGTCGGCCGAGTGACCTGACCGGACCTGGCTGTGAGGTGGATCGGCCGGCCAGGTGACCTGACCGGACCTGGCTGCGAGACGGACCATTCGACCGTGTGACCTGGCCATGACCTGGCTGCGAGATGGACTGACCGGCCAGGTGACCCTGGCTTGAGATGGACCGGTCGGCCGTGTGACCTGACCGGACCTGGCTGCGAAGATGGACCGATCGGCCAGGTGACCCTGGGTTGTGAGATGGACAGTCGGCCGTGTGACCTGACCTAACCTGGCTGCGAGATGCGCTCCAGCGCCTGCAGGAAGTACGGCGCCGAGTCGTTCAGGTGGTACTCGCGAGCCCGGGAGTAGCACATGCTGCGTGCCGGCGTCGGCCCAGATTCCGCGCCATGGCCTGGCGCCAGGAGGGGGCGTCACCCGCGGCGACCGCTCCGTCATCGCGAAGAAGCTCACCGCGTCATCCTGGCTGTAGTCACGGCGGACGGGGATGTGGACTGTGACTCACGACTGTAAGGCGTGAGGGACGCGCAGTGCACTCGGCACCGGAGCCTTTGGCAAGAACCACTCTGACGGCCATTAGTAGGTGGGCACTTTGACCAAGAACCGCTCTGACGGCCGTTGGTAGGCAGGCACTTTGGCCAAGAACCGCTCTGACGGCCGTTGGTAGGTAGGCACTTCATGAGTTGCATACGTACAGTGTGAATGGCTTGCAATGGTGCGAAATTATTATGTCTGATCCTAACGGGCAGCCTGAATAATTCATTTGATGATGCGCGATGCTCGTTTCGGTGGGAAAACTCCTGCACTGCTTACAACGAAAACCACCTGAGGGACTTCAAAATCAGGAGGTCTGAAGCTGCTGGCTCTCAGGCACCTTTAAGCGAAGCACACGACCCGAATGCCTACTAACAAACAGAAGGAAAACAAAATCCCTCTGCAGCGGTTGGGACCCCCCAGAAATATACATTGACAGCCCTGCAGTCACCTTTGTTTGCGGTATTTCGGCACAGCTTGGTTGTGATTCGGACGGCACCTACGCCAGCGCCCCCCTCCCCCAACTCCTACCCCGACCCGCTCCACCCACCTCCCTCTCGGCATCGGCGAACCCAATCTTGAGCTGGTCCATGGCACGGATGACGGCGTTCATACTCTGAAGAGTGTTGCTGTGGACCACGGCCACGTAGGAGGCGCGCTCCTCCAGCGAGAAGCCCTCCTCGTGGATCAGCTTCATCTGCTTCAGGAGAGTCGACTTGCCAGACTCGCCGGCGCCTGGGAAGACGAGGGCGTAACGGAAGCTCGACAGCGGCTGACGGAGTGTAAGAAGTCACAGCACACTAAGGTCCCCCTGGCGGGGGACCTGGGGCCAACCAGAGGGGGGCAGCCCCCAAGACACGCATTTTGGTTTATTTTAGCAGCATAGCCGGCGCCTTCGGTTTTTTATGGTAAGTGCTCACTAGGCTCCATCCCTCCCTCTCGACTGAGACAATCCTGGCTGCGGACCTGAGTGGGACGCTCAAGCCCGGACTTTTGTTGGGAACGTCTTCATATCAAACGCACAGCGGCCGCTGAACCTCCTCAGAGTTGGGGGGGGGGGGGGAGTGTGGCAAGTCGTTTCTCTCCACGCAACGCCCTATCACCTACTACGAGACAGGTCATGAGCCGATCATATATTACTTGAGCTGTGATAAACTTTTCACCTCCAGCGGCCCAGCCGGGCCGGCAACAGTGCAGCATCTTCACGATCGGACCGACCCTTCACTTTCACTGGAAGAAGGGCATATTTTTAAATTGCGGTCAAGCTGACGGACGTGGGTGGAAACCAGCCCCGCACCACAGCGATGCGATACTAACAGATCCTGACGGAGGAGGAACGGACAACCGCAACCACGCACTTCTGCGAACGAACGTGGTCCACCCATCCGAGAACCTTTCAAGAATTGGTGACAAACTTCACCTACCAGGAAAGAGACGGCCTGACTCCATCTGCGCCGAGTCTACGGACATACAGACCACAACTCACTGAGCATATCAAAGCTGTTCAGCCCACCGGAAATCGGCCGGAACGTGAGCGTTGTCATCCTGTTCGAGACAGACGTCGAATGCGAGACGCTGCGCCCTTCACCAATAAAATGTAGTCTGACGCGCAGGTCTGCTTCTTGCGATCAACATCAATCAAAAATCGCCCTTGTAATGCTCCAGTCTCAAATGTGAAAACCGTACATCATTGCAAGTTCATTGATATGGTAGGTTTAAATCGCCGACACTGAGCCAACTAGCCGACCGGGCTGCGTCGCACCGAGCAGAGGTCGGCTCATAATCTATCCGGAACATCACCCTTTGCGGCAAGCCAGTGCCACCCTTCCTGCCCAGACTGGCCGTGATCTGACCGCAGGCAATCCCGACGACAGAGTGGACGACCTTAAAACGGGACGGGACCAACGATCGAGTGCCGTGGGCGTGCAGCCTTACAATGAAGTGCCGCGTCGCATGGTTTACTTAAAGAGCGAATAGCGCTGACATGATGCCGGCACGTAATATCACACAAGGCACGAAAAGCATCTGAAATGTTTTTGAAAAATGGAAAAACTACGGCGATATCAGAGCCGGTATTAGAAAACGCCACGCGATGTTCGAAAGCGGCCCATTCACCGCGGCGCTCGTAAACTGATGAATGATGCAGCATCTTCAGCGAACAGGACAGGAAGAACTCAGAATCAGCCCGCAACATGAGTCATCAGATCACAAGACCACGCATGCGCAGAACGCCCACTTACCGAGCAACAGCATCTTGATCTCCTTATCGGCGCGTTTCTTCTCCTGCTCGAGGGCGC